AAGGGTCATGTTAGAAAACAATTCACTCACAGATCCATAATCATGAAGGTGGAATCTAACTATATACATAATAAAATGTATTGCAGCCAGGGCTAGAAACGTTTTTTTTCTGCTGTGAAAATGGGCATTTTAACATGGGGGTCTATGGAAATTGCTCCTTTCTGCAGTCATCGCCTATCGGCCAATATATGAACTGCAGTTTGTGGCACTTCCGTATTGGCGTCCCGGCTCTTCCCCAGAGTTTGCCGCTTGGTCCCAACACATCAGCCGTTAGCTGTTAGCACACACTCAGAGCTCACAGCTCCTCATATCTGTTCAGAAACGGGACAAAAGTTAAACAAGTACAAACCATAGACTGTATATGTCATGGCGAATACAGTCGCTGCTTTATTTATGTCTGTATGACGTTGTTGTGAGTGTGGACGGAGCAGCTACAGGTTAGTTTAGCCTGATGGATCCGATTCCATTCAGAAAACACGCATTTTAAAAGCTTTTCGCCTGCCGTCTTGTCTGCAGACTTGTCAAAGCATTAATTCATGGTTTTTACTAACCGGTATCAGTATGTAGTTACTTCGGCATCACTTTGAAACGTGTATTACAATTAAATCATGGTCAATATGTTCATTTTGTTGTCGAGTTTCACCGCAGCTGTCAGTGTTTACTCCTGTCATTCAAACAAGACGTGCTGGAGAGGGGGCGGATCGATCAGGCTAAACTAACCTGTAGCTGCTCCGTCCACACTCACAACAGCGTCATACAGACATAAATAAAGCAGCGACTGTATTCGCCATGACATAGGACAGTCTGTGGTTTGTACTTGTTTAACTTTTGTCCAGTTTCTGAACAGATATGAGGAGCTGTGAGCTCTGAGTGTGTGCTAACAGCTAACGGTTGATGTGTTGGGACATGTTGCGCTCGGGTGCTGACCAATCACGAAGCGTCATTTCTTGACTGTCAGCAAAAACAACCAATCACAGCAGTGCTTCTCTGGCTGGCTCTGTCCAATCACAAACAAGAAGTGTTCTCCCTAAAGGAATACCCTTTCCGTCCAATGTGAAATGCTGTGGTGTTTTCTGAAATGCTGTTGTGTTTTCTGAAATGCTGTTGTGTTTTCTGAAATGCTGTTGTGTTTTCTGAAATGCTGCGGCGTTTTGTGAAATGCTGCGGCGTTTTGTGAAATGCTGTTGTGTTTTGTGAAATGCTGTTGTGTTTTGTGAAATGCTGCGGCGTTTCCTGAAATGCTGCGGCGTTTTGTGAAATGCTGTTGTGTTTTGTGAAATGCTGTTGTGTTTTGTGAAATGCTGTTGTGTTTTGTGAAATGCTGTTGTGTTTTGTGAAATGCTGCGGCGTTTCCTGAAATGCTGCGGCATTTTGTGAAATGCTGTTGTGTTTTGTGAAATGCTGCGGCGTTTTCTGAAATGCTGCGGCGTTTTCTGAAATGCTGTTGTGTTTTGTGAAATGCTGTTGTGTTTTGTGAAATGCTGCGGCGTTTTCTGAAATGCTGTTGTGTTTTCTGAAATGCTGCGGCGTTTTGTGAAATGCTGTAGCGTTTTGTGAAATGCTGTTGTGTTTTGTGAAATGCTGTTGTGTTTTGTGAAATGCTGCGGCGTTTTGTGAAATGCTGTTGTGTTTTGTGAAATGCTGTTGTGTTTTGTGAAATGCTGCGGCGTTTTGTGAAATGCTGTTGTGTTTTGTGAAATGCTGTAGCGTTTTGTGAAATGCTGTGGTCTTTTCTGAAATGTTGTAGCGTTTTCTAAAATGCTGTTGCGTTTTCTGAAATGCTGTAGCGTTTTCTGAAATGCTGCGGTGTTTTCTGAAATGCTGTGGTGTCTTGCACTTCCGGGCCACCGTAGTATTCATTATTTTATAAACGTGTTTTAATTGGGGGGTGGACGTCACATCCTCTAGGGGGGTCCGGGGGTATGCCTCCCTGGAAAGATGTTTTTTTAACATTTTAAAGTCAAATGCTTCAATCTGGTGCACTTTGATCAGAATTACTAGAGACTAGATCTAGGGGGTACAAGGCAAGGCAAGGCAAGGCAAGTTTATTTATATAGCACCTTTCAACACAAGGCAATTCAACTCTAAACACCCATATGAAAAAGATCAGTTTACATTTTAATAATCAAATAAGTATGTGAACATAACCAATAACCCATAGCCAATAACAAATTAATGTAACGTATTTTATTTTTTGTTGTTCATCTTATTTGACCTAGTTAACATTTATTTATTCATGCGTATTTTTTAATATCTCCAGTTTTAAACGATATTTTTGGTTTACTGTCCTATAGTATGCATTGGAATGATTTCAAACCTGTTGTTATTTATCCTAATAATTATAAAGGTGTGCCTTGGAAATATTTGTTTGCATAAATGGTGACCAAACCGTTTGAGACCCACTGAGATAACTTAGACTAAAGTGAACTATCTAAACACTTGAGTCCTTTACCTCACTGAGCTGTAGTTATCAGCCTCAATCCAACAACAATCCGCAGTACCGATGCGCGCCCTCTCTCTCTCTCTCTCGCTCGCTCAGAGGCTCTCTCACTTTGGCTGTGAGCTGCGGGCCCCCACTTTCATCACTTACAGCGCACATCGTATAGAGCAAATGCAAAATGTTGTCGGCCCGGGGTGCAAAGGGTGTTTACTTTATTCAATTATTAATGTAAATGTATTACATCAAGGGCAGAAAATTAGGCAGAATAATAATTTTAAAAGATTTTTTTTATTTTGTATTATTTTTTTTTTTCTCCTAGCGCAGCGCCCCTCCCGATCTGGCGCCCACGCATGACTTAAAAGCTGTGAGCTCATGAGGGCTCAGGGACGCTCGCAACCCTTCTGGACAGATTTATACATCTTTTTTTATCACACTCCATTATAGAGTGGCGAAGTCCCTCCCCTTCCGGTTGAGCCCCATGGGACCTTATTTCGGAAAAGTTATGCATTGAAGTCAATGGAGAGAGAAAGATTATCTTTCGATCCCGTTTGAATTGTGCCACGAATTACACATATGATGTTTGTCAATTTAAAAGATAATTTTGCAAGTCAAAAAAATTAAAATGTGTCGTAAAACTGTGAAGTAACACATTTGTTTGTGTGAAAGGCTCAATGAACTACATCTCTGGTCAACCACACACGTCACCATGATGGCCGTCACTACTGTCTTGTCAACAAACGATTGACTATCACCACAATGAAACACGTCCTGAAGAATGTCATGCAAAGCCTGCCTTCCTTTGATTCTCTCTGAACTGCCTGGTCGTTTTAATGTTTAATGTCAACCATTTGTGCAGATAGCATGAAGTAGAAAAGATCGCCGATGCTAACGTTAGCGTTAGCATTTCTCCCCCGGAATTAAATGGTGTATTATAGAATGATCACACCGGTGACAGTACTATTCAAAGGGTTCACGAAATATGACTACTACTCTTACTGTTTAACATTTTGGGTTACTTAATGTTACTTCATGTTAAGGCTAATAAAAATGACAAGGCTGTAATGCTAACTAACGTGCTAGCTACTAGCTAGGTAGCTAACTTGATCAAGCCACTCCTGGTCGTTTCATCAGACGGGAAGCAAAAGAACGAGCAAGACCCATTGCTGGTATAATAACAACCTGGTACTAAGCACACAGGCATCTTGTTAAAGTTATCTTATCTTAGCCAGCGCCATATAGATAGATTATATCTATATTGCGCTGATCTTAGGTATCTGAATGGTGGAGGTAAACAATTGTGACATCACTTACGCGACTCTGGGATTTGTAGTCTTTCTAGTTACGTATTTTTCGTAGTCTTATATTTCAACAGTTTTACGACAAACTGTGACTTTTTTGACATGGAAATTATTTTTTAAGATTGACAAACATCATATGTGTAATTCATGGCACAATTCAAACGGGATCGAAAGATAAGTTTTCTCTCCCCATTGACTTCAATGCATAACTTTTCCGGAATAAGGTCCCATACCCTGGAAGTAAGTGGGAGGGACTTTGCCACTCTATAGAGAAATACCACCCCATGTGCAAGAGCCTGATTTCCACATTCACATTATGGACACGCCCAGGGCCGGCCCTAGGCACTGCAAACTAGCCGGTCGCCTATAGGGCGAGGGCGTTGGTGGAAACATAATAAACACTTAATGAGAAGCGTATAGGAGCGGTATCCGTAGGTAGAAAACACACCTGAAAAACAGAGGGGCAGGTAGTTTTCCTGTTAACGTCGGAGAAGACCTTTGAACAAGAAGCCCCCCCTCTGCACTTTGACCCAGAACACAAAGCTGAACCGCAGGGAGACGAATCGTGTCTTAAGACAACATCAAGGGTGGGGTAGGCCTACTTACCTGGGAAAGCTTAGTGTTTGACGAATTATGGATGAATGCCGGTGACTCTCGGGTAAATTACCTTTGTATGTCAATTTAATTATGTTATCCTGTGTGCACAATTGGTCCGGTGAACAATGTCTTTCTTATCTTTAAAATATTGTCTGAATTCAGTTTAAAGGTGTTTCCATACTGTACTATGAGTGATATTTTCGAACATTGACAAGAATTTATGAAGGTTTTTGTCTAATTGTTGGATGCTATATGTTTTTATTGACACTGGCAATTCCCGGAAAACGCAACATAACTACCACTGTTTGTGTCTTTACTAACTAAACTCTTCCAGAGAATAGTGGAATCAAAAAAATCAAAAAAATCTAAAAGTTACCAAATTTGTGAGTGTATTTTATTTTTGGCAAACTTCTTGAATGGCTGCTTGTGTTAATATTCAATAGCTTATACTTTGAGATCTTATATTGTAAAATATCATTTTTGGAGTTAACACCAACATTTAGCTAACCTATCATCACCTCCACTATCGCGAAAGTTAAAAGAAAAGCACTGCCATACCTAGATGGGCGAATTTGAAACAATGAGATTCAATGAGAATTGTTTCAATAAGTAAAATACTTCCTCTTCTTTTCTCAGGTGCCGTTTCATTCATATAACATCAGCTGCTGCCACGTTCTTTCACAAGAGAGTTCACCTTCTACTGAGCCTTGACCCCAGCGTTTTTCAACAATGGGGTATTTCACATCTTTAAAATAGAAAACGAACAAAATAAATATTACTTTATTGTTTAAGCTACTGTGCCACACACCTCTGCATTTTAAGAATCAGAGATTTCTGTTTAATCTGACTAATCTGACATCTTTGGCTCTTTTCTTGCAGACATCTTCAGAGGATGAGGAGTGTTTTGAAATGTGTGCTCTTTGTTCCCATCACACTCTGTGCGATCTACGTAATACCTCCATCTGTAAAGTGAGTCTGTGATACATTTAGGGGACACTACATACAAGAACAATTACTGTAAGCCTAAATGCTAACATTACTTAATGAACACGTGTTTTTATTTTTTGTTTTAGACTTTTAATTGGCTTCATGCCTATGGAGAAATGCCATTTGGAAAGTGCAAAGATGCTGAATCTGGACAGCAGTGTGGACGCCAGCCTCAACCTCCAGTAAGACCAGAAGACCTGTTTACAATTTGGCTGAACAGATAGTCCTGAGACCAACACAGACATTTATCTATCATGTTGAGAAGCCGCAGGTTTCATCTGATTGGACATAAAGCAGCAACAACAAATAAGTGGTGTTTTTTGTATTTCACCTTTTTTAAATATTTTCTAAGAAGAAGGTGTACTTATAAATAAATGTTGGACGAATAAATGGAGCCACATAACAGTTTTTTTTTGCTTAATCCATATCAGAAGGGTAGCTATTTTATACGTTTAACCTGAAATTGTAGTTAAAGTTTTGGTGCAACAGAATTTAACTGAATCTAAGTTGACTGTAAATATAAAATAATACTACTAAAAATATTTAGATGCATATGACGTGTTTAGGTCACAACTTACCTGTAGTAAGCTTCAGGTTGGTAAAGAAGAGTATTATAAAAGGGAATTCAGTCTAAAGAAAAACATTTGTTTTATATTTCAGGTCCAGACCTGACGTGCTAACCTGTACATATTGGAAAGCTGCCATCATCTGGGAAGGGATGTTTGACCCCCGCCTCTATGACGAGATGCACAAGATGAAAGGATCCTCTGTGGCTCTAACAGTCTTTGCTGTGGGCAGGTTGGTTTTCACATGAATAAAGTAATAACTCTAAAGATAATCTGTCGTCAAACCTAAATACTTCCTACTCAGCCAACTGTATTTTTAGTGCATTAATGTTTAACTAGGTGATGGTTGGACAGATTGTAAAAAAAATGACAAAAAAACACAACAAATAATGACCCCCCCAAAAAAACAGTGCTTATAGTTACTATAGCTAACTTTGAAAATATATCTTTTACTGTACTCATAAACATGTGAAGTGGACATGCTGCATCTAGTGTTAAAATGAATTGTAGTGCAGTTACAGATAAAGTCATACTGTTTGTTTGGGTCGGTTCTGGTCACCAGATCAGATACCACTGCCCAGCACATTGCAGCAAACAGTTTTTACTTGCAGCAGCAGACTAAAGAAGATGTGCAACATTTTGTTGCACACATCAATGGACCTCAGTTTCCTCTGGAGGTAGAGTGATAAGAGTCTAACCGAAATGTGACTTGTTTCCTTTTCCTCAAAAGATACCTTGATGCTTACCTACACACATTCCTGAACTCATCCGAGCAACACTTTATGGTGGGTTTGCCCGTGACCTACTACGTGTTTACGGACATGCCAGAGAAGGTGCCTAACATCAAGTTGTCTCCTCTGAGAAGCATGAAGGTGATCAAAGTGGAGAAGAACTCCAGGTGGCAGGACGTCTCTATGATGCGAATGAAGAGCATATCAGATGTGATAGAGTCTGATATTCGCCACCACTGCACGCACGTCTTCTGCTTTGATGTGGATCAGGTATTTACCGGGAGATTTGGATCAGAGGCTCTTGGGGATTCAGTGGCTCTGCTCCACGCCCACTACTACCGCCTTCCAAAGCATTTGTACACCTACGACCGCAACCCAAACTCCAAGGCGTACATGGAAACTGGGGATTATTACTACCACGCTGCCATCTTCGGAGGCTCATGGAAGAATGTGAAAGCGTTGACCGAGGCCTGCTATCAGGGCATCATGGAAGACAAACAGAACAATGTGGAGGCTCTATGGCACGATGAGAGCCATCTGAACAAGTACATGCTGCTCCACAAACCCAGCAAGGTTCTCTCTCCAGAGTACTGCTGGGATACCAGCATCGGTTTCAGGAGGGACATACAAGTCACCCGATTACTGTGGGCACCAAAATATTATGACACACTTCGCACACCTTAAAAACTTGACAAATGCTAACAAATGTAATGTCTCAGGTTCTCGTGCTCCCTGGCTCCATTTTGTTCTCTCAGGAATTAATTTGCAGATCTGCAAGTATTTTCATAATGGAGGGACAACTATAAATACACTCTTGTCTTTTATCCGGATATCAAATGTTTTTGTTGCATTTTTTTCCAGATGTATATAAGTCAACTTTTTACATGTTTGATCTGCACTTGTTGATCCATCTTATTTATTTGTATGTCACTTTGCCAAATGTATCTCTGTTTTTAACTGATACTTATTGACACTCAAATTTTGTCGCATTTTTTATAAATCTCAATAAAGTTTCAAGTTAAAGCCTTTTATTGTCATTGTACACAGAGTATAACGAGATTCAGAGTGCAACACTGTCCCGGTGTGCAAAAAATACAAACACATACAGAACACTAAAAAACACGGCAATAGGACAGACAACATAAACAACCGCAGGTCTCCCTTGAAAAAAAGATCGTTGATCTCAATGGGATTTTTCACCTGGTTAAATAAAGGCTACAAATCATACGGGGGAATAAATAGTTAAAGATATTGATATGAAAATAGTATATAAAGTGCATTAAAAGTGTGTGTATGTGTGAGAATGGTTATGGTTGTTGCATTATGTGTGGTGGTTAAGCAGCCTGACGGCCCAGGGATATAAACTGTTTTTGAGTCTGTTTGTTCGTGACTTGAAGCTCCTGTATCTTCTCCCAGAAGGCAGGAGAGAGAACAGTCTGTGACCTGGGTGAGAGCTGTCCTTTATTATTTTGTTAGCTCTGTTGCGGCAGCGATAGCTTTTCTTCCCCCTGTTAATGTGTGATTTGTGTGTCAGTCTTTCCTCTTCTGTAAAGCGATGTGCTGCTCTTCGTTAACTGTATTCACAGTGTTCATGTACAATGTTTATTAATGATATCTTCACCAATTTAAGATACTATAATCACCATAATGTCAGTGAGTCAGATTAATAATGTTGTCTTCAAAGCATCCAATTTGAATGATTTGACAAAGTATTGAAATGGGGGTCGTAGACATAAATGTTAACAACAGAGAAACTTTATGTTAGGGATGTCTTGCCTTTAGTTCATTCAGAATGGAACAAAATAAACATTTATCCCGTGACTGCAGTGGCTCTCTGCCATTTCTCAAAGATGTGTTGGAGGAATGGACATTTAATATAATTTGATCAATTTCTGAAGAAAGCTTAAAGGGAGAACCCAGTATGCTGTACTCTGCTAAGCTTTAGTAGAAGAAAAGGATTTGAATAGAATTTGATGTAATTGCATTGACAAATCATTAGAGCTCGATCAATATTGAAAGTACATTTTTTTCAGAAAATCAGAATCAGAATCAGAAACAGGTTTATTGCCAGGTACTAGGTTCGCACATACTAGGAATTTGACTTGATGTCATGGTGCATACATAAAATATAAAAAACAAGAAATCTAATATAAAACACAAAATCTTTTACACCGTAATAAAATACAGTTAAATAGCAATACAAATTTAAATTAAATAAAGCAGTAATTTACATGGAAATAGAATGCTATGAATGAATGTTTGCATATAAACTAAGAAATGTGAAATCAGAATATGTGCAGAAAGGAGTATGACATTGTGTGCATTAATGTAATGCATATAGTCTATAGTCTATGATGTGGCTGAGGTAAAGTGTCAGCGGGGGGGCCGGGCCTTGTTTAAGAGGCTGGTAGCGGAGGGGAAGAAACTGTTCAGGTGGCGTGAGGTTTTGGTCCTGATGGAGCGCAGCCTTCTGCCAAAGGGGAGGGGGGCGAACAGTTTGTGTCCAGGGTGGGAGGGGTCGGCCACTATCTTCCCTGCCCGCCTCAGGGTCCTGGAGGCGTGCAGGTCGTGGAGGGATGGCAGATTGCAGCCGATCACCTTCTCTGCAGAGCGGATGACACGCTGCAGCCTGCCCTTATCCTTGGCTGTGGCTGCGGCGTACCAGATGGTGATGGAGGAGGTGAGGATGGACTCGATGATGGAGGTGTAGAAGTTCACCATCATCGTCTTTGGCAGGTTGAATTTCTTCAGCTGCCTCAGGAAGAACATCCTCTGCTGTGCTTTTTTGATGAGGGAGCAGATGTTTGTTTACTTTGCCAGTTTTGTCATTAATGTCGTATTGTTGTTCTTTCAGTCTGATATTCATTATGAAATAGCACTTCAGTTTAACCCAGATGAGCTTTGAATTAGCTGGTGTGACTCCTGATGCCTGAACTCTTTCTATACATTTGTACTATTGGAGTAAGATGCTCCTTAGGGTGGTCCTTAGTGCCATGTACATTTTCGAATTCATTTATTTTAAGCTCCAACCACCGGAATTCATTATGATAGTCAAGAAAACTCCTGGTGAATTTTATTCAAATTCCAACAGCATTTACCCCTCCCTCATCAACCTTGAAGTTTAGCCTCAGTAAGGTGGTCCTTAAAATTGAAAGTCGGAAAGTCTAAGCTCCAACCCCCAGAATTCATTCTATTAGTCAAGAAAACTCTCCTGGTGAATTTTGTTCTCAATCTGACAACATTTACCCCTCCCTCATCAACCTGGGCTGCCACAACTGAGGCTAAACTTCAAGGTTGATGAGGCAGGGGTACATTTTGTCAGATTGAGGAAAAAATTCACCAGGAGAGTTTTCTTGACTAATAGAATTAATTCTGTGGGTTGGAGCTTAGACTTTCCGACTTTCAATTTGAAGGACCACCCTAATGCTCCTGTATAAATGTGTTTTATACCTGTATCATTGCAAATTGTGTGTGCAGGGGCCTCATTTATAACGCCTTGCGTAGGATTGACGTAGGAAGGTTGCTTACGTAGTACAAAGCACAAAAATAGGTACATACATTTTCCGCCATTTTCCGATTCACAAAACATTGCGTACCGGCGAGGGAAGTGCGTACGGCACTCCCTACGCCTGTTTCCCTTTATAAATCACAATCGACTCGTAACGCCCATATTTGCCTATACATAGTCAAAGAAACGCCCATTCATTCATTCATTTTGACTGACTGCATGAAGAAGATCGCAGGAAATTACGATAGAACAGCTAAAAAAGACATCTCACACCGTGTCAGATTTTGGTTATTGTGGGGAGGTCGAGATAAATCATATTGTTTGGTGGATGCAGTTTGAACCAGAGTAGCAGCATGGAGGTCGGATCGTCACCAAAATAAATAAATAAGTGGTCCGAAAAAAGTTAATGACAAAAAAAATACACATAACCTTCCTCAGGCAGTGTGTTTGTCCCGGGGACAGGAGACACCCCCTTGATGAGAAACTGTAAGAAATGATCGGGAATCCCTCCGGAGTGGAGTCATGACGACTGGATCTGAATTATTTTTGTTGTATTTGGTGGTTTCGTGTTCCAGCTGTCGATCAGCAACTATATATCCATAATCCACCAGTTAAAGGAAATACAACTAATGTGTTGTGTTATATTAGCTGTACAATTTACCACATATGGTGTTCTTAGTTTCCATACCTCCTGTGTTTTACGAGCGGCTTATCAAGTCTTGGCAAACGGCATAAAACATGATTAAACGTGATAGTATATAAAACCATACTCGTATCTACAACCTATAGAAATGCAAAACGGCGTCAGTTTAGACGTAATTCTGTCCTCCTGCTTACCGCATCATTTATGAGAAAACATTTCATAACATTAACACAACATATTCGAGGTGGTTTTAAATAGCATATCCGTATTTATTTATTTCTCCAAGTTATGTTTTTGTGTGTACTGAGGAGTCTCAAACAGGCGTTTGTTTAATCATTTAAAGATTGGCTTTAATCAATGTTTGAAAATGAATTCTTCATATTTGATAAATGAGAGGTAACATTTTATTTATGGCATTATTTCCACATATTTCTCTCCATTCTTCCTTCTGCCAACGGTGTCGCAGTTTCTCGTCTCTCCCGTTTGTGTGCTTAGTGCGTACGCATGGGATAGAGTTTGCGTGGAGGACAGCACATTTTCCCGTCAAGTTAGTATTTTATAAATCGCAAACATTGCGTAGAAACTGGCGTACGCCATTTTTTGAGCGTATATCCCTTTATAAATGAGGCCCCTGGTCTTTTCTGGTCTTTGCGGTGTGATTATTTGATATTTGTAAGACTCTTTCAAGAACAAATACAATTTTCCAAAGCATTTTGTCTGAGAGTTGGTTTTCTTTTCCACTTTAAGTAAAAGTGGATTATTCTAGTTTTATAATTGTATTGTACAGTAAGCTCACACATACACACTAAAGTCACAACACATGTCATTGTTCAACTTCTATGTGAAACAGATTTTCTTGTTTCAATTTGAGAGACTGGCAAAGCAAGGATAATTAAGATGAATTATTATTTGTTTGACTACATGGCAGAGCACATTAAGTGTGAAACTATTTCTGCCAAAATCTAACTGATTTAACTGTGAGCACAAATTCAGAATTGATTCCTTTGGGTGGATATTTATTGAGATGTACCGGTTGTCTATTCATATTATTTTAAGGAGTCCTAGAGGCCTACTAGTCAAAAGGATACATTTATAAAGGGATATACGCTCAAAAAATGGCGTACGCCAGTTTCTACGCAATGTTTGCAATTTATTTATTTATTTTGGTGACGATCCGACCTCCATGCTGCTACTCTGGTTCAAACTGCATCCACCAAACAATATGATTTATCTCGACCTCCCCAAAATAACCAAAATCTGACACGGTGTGAGAGATGTCTTTTTTAGCTGTTCTGTCGTCATTTCCTGCGATCTTCTTCATGCAGTCAGTCAAAATGAATGAATGAATGGGCGTTTATTTGACTATTTATAGAGAGGCGAAGTCCCTCCCCTTCCGGTTGAGCTCCATGGGACCTTATTTCGGAAAAGTTATGCATTGAAGTCAATGGAGAGAGAAAGATTATCTTTCGATCCCGTTCGAATTGTGCCACGAATTACACATATGATGTTTGTCAATTTAAAAGATAATTTTACAAGTCAAAAAAATAAAAATGTGTCGTAAAACTGTGAAGTAACACTTTTTTTGTGTGAAACCGCTCAATGAACTACATCTCCCATCTCGCACCACACACCAAGACGGCCGTCACGTTGGCACATTTCACTTCTTTCTTTCAGAATGAGGCGAAAAGTATTAAAAGAGGTGAAAATCACTACAAGTCTGGGCATGTTGAGAGCTGTACATACACACAAGGGGAGTTAGTCGGTTCCGTAAGAGCCAGCATGCGGGACCGGGATTCTGGGATTTGTAGTCTTTCTAGTTGCGTATTTTTCATAGTCTTATATTTCAACAGTTTTACGACAAACTGTGACTTTTTTGACATGGAAATTATTATTTAAGATTGACAAACATCATATGTGTAATTCGTGGCACAATTCAAACGGGATCGAAAGATAATCTTTCTCTCTCTATTGACTTCAATACAAACTTTTTTCCGAAATAAGGTCCCATGAGTCCCACCGGAAGGGGAGGGACTTCGCCTCTCTATAGGCAAATATGGGCGTTACGTGAAGCCCGCAAAAGCTGCGCCGCATTTCGAGTCGATTGTGATTTATAAAGGGAAACAGGCGTAGGAAGTGTCGTACGCACTTCCCTCGCCGGTACGCAATGTTTTGTGAATCGGAAAATGTCGGAACATTTCTGTACCTATTTTTTTGCTTTGTACTATGTAAGCATCCTTCCCACGTGAATCCTACGCAAGGCGTTATAAATGAGGCCCCAGGACTTTTTATGTTCAGTATAAACTTTACAATTGTGAGAGAAGAGAAAGGAGAAAAAATACTGCTGTTTTGTTTATTAATTTACTCACAAATAAATACAATTCTGTACAGTGTATTCATGTTGCAGATAAACATGACATTTTAGGAACTCAGATCTTTTGAGCTGCTGAGAGTCGTGTAGTCTGAGTGTCTCTGGGGGGAAGTCAGATTCATGTAGCCCATCTCTGCTGATCGAGTCCCACAGACAAAACCGAGAGGGGGGGAAGTCACGTGTCTCTGCTTGTTCTGAGTACAGTCCGAACAGCCCTGAATATCAGACGTCTCAGGCATCATCACACTAGGGACACAATCAAAGTTCATAGACATGTAATGGTGTGTTTCTAAGCAGGCAACAGGTTGCGCTAAGATTCTGAATCAGACTCACCTTGACGCTTGCAAAGGGATGGATTTTAAAACGTGCCTGAGATTAGATGTGTTTTTAAGTTCCTAATAAAACAAAACAAAAAGTATGTGAGATTAATAGTTTATCATTCCAAAATAATTGTGTCTTTCTTTATAAGACTTAGCAAAGGTAAATCTTTTTTTTTTAGAATCAAAAATCTTAGCAGTCATTGTATGGATAAATAAAGTATGGTTAACATCATTTAAAATTAAGATTTCATATGAGATTAACAGTGATTAAACACGTTGTGCTAACTTTCTAAATATGAATGTGTGCACCTGAGGCTGACAAAGGGCAGCTGAGCCTGATAACCTGAGGCTTTGGTAGGTCTGAACAGATTAAATATCTCATAAACTAAGGAACTGAATGGATATTTTGTACAGAGAGTCATGGTTCACTTCCCAGAGGACGACTTCAGTGTCCTATGTCTGCAAACACACAGCCTTTCAGATGAGCATGCATAGCTACAAATGTATGGTCGTGTCCCTTGTTAGAAAGCTGATCTAAAGTAGCCTAACGATGGCAAAACTATAACAAAACAGCAGCAACTAGTGTGTGTGTAAAAAAGGAGGTGACTTAACTGTGCCTGTTACCTCAGCAAAGTGCAAGCTGCGTTCCAGGACAGCTAGCTGATTGGTCATGTGGAGTATCCTGTTTCCTAGTTTCTTGTTTTCCATCTCTAAGAAATCCACCCTTAAGATCAACACACAAATGTTTTCAATGGCTAAATATGAAATCATCCTATCAACTGGTGTCTGTTTCATGTGCTGACTGTGTAAGGCCAGTACCTGCATGTGGACAAAGAAGCTGTTAGATAACTGTCTTTCTTTTTGTGCTCCTCCTCATTCAGCTGTTGTAAAAGCCTTCTCCTCTCCACCAGCAATTTCTCATTCTCCACAGTAATGCGTGTGATGAACTCCTTTTCCTGGAAAACAAAAAAACAACATAATTTCCTTCTCACGGATTAAAAAAAGTCTATAGAGAATTTAGTTCTCCCCTGTGGACCTTCACCACATATATAATAATTTACACACTTTATGACAGGCTGTTGCCATGGTCACTAAATCAATAATACATGCTGTATCTACAGAAGAAAAAAAATAAGTAATCCTTTTTCCAGAGCAAACACTCCTATACCAACAAAGGTATGAATAAATATTGTATATATATTTAAAAAACAAACAAATGGTGATACATTTCAGAAAGATAAAGAGACATTCATTCATTCATAAGCAGCTTCATAATGTATGACTTATATCTGGCTGTGTCACCTCAAACATCCTATTTTCTTTTCTTTTTTAAAGAAGGACAAAGAGGCGGATTTACCTTTGCTACTGAATGGGAACACAAGAACAGCTCTCGCTCCAGACTTTTTATCTTCTCGTCACGCCACATGGTTTCATGATCACATGTCTGCTTGGCCTGACACAGTCTCACCTTGTGCTTTTCCTTCATTTCATGTTTTTTACTGTAAGAAAATAGACCAAATAACAGATTTACTAATATTATATTATATTGATTTAAATGTGTCATCCAAAAAAAGCCATACAACATATATTATTATCATTACTTGATATGTAATATATGATTGTACTATGAAGGGACATTGTTATATGTTGTCATTAATGTCAACGTTTTAAATGTACTATACAGGATGGAGAAAAAGTGTCTACTCTGTCTGTATATATATATATATATACAGACATAGTGGCTTGAATACAAAAATGACTTTAGAGATTATCATGAGATTTCGATTTTTTTTGTTTTTTTTCTGCCAGGTTTATATTTCGCTGTTGGCAACATCGTGAGGCTGTTACCTTCGCTCTTTATCAAGGCATTTCAGGGTGTCACAGATCTCCTTCTTGAGTGTCTCGCACTCATCTCGGCTGTCCAACAGAGCCTTTACTGCGTCTTGATAATCTAGAGACTCCTGCGATCCAAATTACAGACAACAGCAGTCAAATATACAGTTACAGTGCATGTTGAGCGTGATGCAACTACAGCAGAAACAATAATGGGAATGAATAGCTTTGTACTCTGTTAGTTTGTCACATGGGTAGCAAGAGTTATTTACGTCTTTTAGTACCTGTCGACAGTCGTATGATGAATGGGAGTTATGACACATACCTGTCGTGTCAAATCATCATATAGTCTTTTACTCTGATTGCACTGTTAAATTGTATTTTTAGTCTTGTATTTCAAACCTTTATTTATCCAGGTGTATCCCATTGAGATCATTGATCTCTTTTTCAAGGGAGACCTGCTAAACAGGTGTGTTTAACAGAGACATATGTTAAGGGTTTACATTTCAGGAGGGCAAAAGGAAGTGTAAAAAGGGGATATGCAAATGGTTAAGGACAAGGGGGTTTTATGGTTTAATGGTGGGGATGTTTAGATGATGCCTAAGGGAATTTAAGGGTGGGACCAGTTGGCTATTCTCTCTACTATTTAGGCTGGTGCCCCACGGGAACGCATACGGCAAAACGCATTGGATTAACGCAATCGCAATATACACCGGATAGTGTCTGTTCACACGAGACAGCTCAGTTTAGCTCCAACCACTGGAAAAAGGTGCAGTACATATGCCGAGCCTGTACGTGGCGCTGTAACTTCCTCCACAAAAGCAGCGAAGAAGCATGGTCGTCATGGTTGCGCTTCTGTTTATTCACCGTGGTGGGGGCCGAGGGAACCGGGCAGAGTTTTTCGCCGGTCAACGTGTGTTAAAAGTTTAAATCTTCCGGACAAAATTATAAAAGTGCCGGTCAAAGGTCTTCTTTGTTATTTATTAAGCTTTAAAACAAATGAATAACGACTCTATATAATGATCAAATACACAGAGCCTGTCTCTTTTTCCTCTCTTCTGACAGCGTCAGTGTCTGTCTCATGCAGCAGCTGATCCAGTAATGAGTGACCCGGCCGACAGTAAAAAATAAACATATTTATAACTAGTTTAGGTAGTTTGAGAGGTAATTAAAATAGCTAAGGGTGATGATCTGACTTGAAGTGTGTGCGTGTCTCCGTCCTGTCAGATTAGACTTCACTCGCGTTTATGTCCATATCGAGATAAAGATAAATAATCTGAATTCAGTGTGCAGTGTACTTTTGCGGGGGTGAGCAGCAGAGGTGGGGGGAGGCAGGGCTATTGCGTCATCATTATCACAAAATGATCGTATAGAGGCGATCACACGGAGCCGTTGGACCCCCCAGAGCGCTCCGTTCCCAGATCTATCCACCTTTGGACCCGTTATCGTTTGCGGGGTCCGTTTCTATCGTTTAGTTACGGCCTCGTGTGGCAAAAAGGGCTATACGCAAGAGAAATATGCGGATACAACCCGTTTTTGTCCTCGTGGGGCACCAGCCATAGTGTGACTGTAAGCTGTGTTCTGGGTGCAAAGCCATTTTATCCTCTGAGGATGAAGTGGCTCTGTTCCTACATTTGGAATCGATTTCACTTGTATATTGACTTTCTTTATTACTTTATTATATACAATAAAAGACAAACTGTGTCCATTTATCACTTTCTCTTAAGAATTTCCTCCACAATAACCACACATGCAGTTGACCTGATTAATTACACATTTTCCGGTAATTCAAATATAGAATAAATTACCTTAAGCAGTGTGTTTTCCTTGTTCTGCAGCTGTTGTTGTGTCTGTAGTTCTTTATCATCTTTCACCTGGCAGTCAGTGTTTTCAGAGTGCTGTGAATCTGCCTCTTTTGGCTTACCCAGTCTTCAAACACACACAGAAACTTTCTCGATGTTACTGCAACAATGAGAGTTTGCATGCACATACAGCACAGTATGTATCTATATATACATCTGCTGGATGGTGTGTGGAGTTAGAGTTCCCTACTTTTGCTCCTGAAGATGGTTTTCTTTGGTGCAGACGGTAGCAGTAAGGTTATCCAGTTCATTTTGAGATGTTTCCAGCTGCTGTTTGAGGGAAAGTATCTGAAAAGATAATAGAACGATTTTGACATTATATAATAGGAAACAAGCTATATTGTACCGTTACTGTGTACTCAATATCTCTTGTAAAAAATAATCTGTTTCTGAGTTATAATAATAATTGATATCACTCACTTCTGACTCCTTCTCCAAAAGGCATTTCGACTGGGTGCTGAGCTTATCTTGTAAATCTCTGCAGAACTCTTTGCTCTGATTTAATTTAGTTTCCTGGGACTGGAACCAGAACAAGATCAACATTCAGACATGTATCAACTCCAAATTCATTTAATGAAGTTATGTTTGGTAATACCAACATGTTTGACAATGTGTTTGACAAGAACAAGACTTGGTCAGTGACACAAGACTGTTCAGTAAATACAACATAACTTTGTAGAGGGACCCATGCATATGAACATTGACCAAACTGTGAGGAATCTTTTCTGTTTTGATTTGGGGATAGCAGTTAAGCAGGTGTAATCTTCTCATGTAATGCTCAAGGATTGATACAGTGAGACTTACTCCAGCCAACTCTTTAGCCTGGTTGATCTGAGGCTCCTGCAGGGCTGACTGCAGCAGCTTCACTTCTCTCTGCAGAAGCACCACCTGGGAAACACCACAGATCAATGTAGTTACCAAAAGTCTGTCTCATCACAGCCTCTACATTCAGAATGCAATTCACAAGTTTCGCAAATGGGGATTTCTACATTTCAAAACGATACAGACACCTAGGCTTCCAACAGGTAATATTTTGTAATGTCATCATAATCCATGTCTTGCTAACTTTACTGCAGTTTTTCTCAATATTTGCACACACATTGTTATACAAATGAGTAAACTAATTACTTTGCATTATTTAAAGTGTAGGACACTCAAGCATTTTACATTCCAAACAAAAGATCTGTAGCTGTTAAATACTGAATTACAGTTACTCAGAGTTAGAGACTGACTGTTTCGGTATCAGATGTAAAGGCCGGGGTTCTGTACAGTGAGACTTACTTTAGCTAACTCATCACTCTGGTTGACTTTCCCCTGCTGCTGCTGCTCCTCCTCGCTCTGCAGAGAAACCACCTGAGACATACACATATACAGGCTGCCTTACATTTTTTAAGACCTATTTATTTACTGATTATTTCTTGTAAATTGATCATTCAGCTTTGCAGTTCATTTATTCATTACATCAATGCACTGTTGAGGAACCTGCGATCTAAGTTTTTCATACATTACATACACCATAGTATGTATATGTTATGACAATAAACCTTTGAACCTTGAATCTTGAATACACGTGTCTTATCTTTATCTATACGAGTGGCACACATTAGTTTGACACTTAAAACAAAAACTATTAAAAAAACACAGAAAAATGAATATGTGTCTCAGACTGGATGTGTGGTTTGTAGAAAGTGTTCGATCTGCTGGTTTGAGTAAACAGGAAAGCTGTGTGTTGTATTGGTTGGTCGGGGAACATCTGAGCAACTGTCATTGATCTGTGTGTCTACAACATACACATCGAACACACACTGTGCTCAACAAACACAGGTCCCAGAATGAATGCTCTGTAAACATTATCAGTCCAATGCTTTGTTATTATGGCTTGTACGCTAGATTCCTGCCTAAAGCGCACCACACAAATGTGCAGGTGTTGTTACGATTGAGACTGCAACATTGCCAGAATCAAACTCGTACACATTTTACTGTGGAAAGGGCAACAGCATGCACTTTGTTCAGGCTAAATTGTAAACAGATTTGACAAAATACAGATCTCACACACTCTTTCTAGAAGTACGATTCATCCCGACTTTTAATATGGCCCACAAAAAGACTTACCTTAGCCGTCAATTAGAGTAAAGTGAACAAAACTTAAGTACAGTGTCTGCAGTGTATATGCTGCCAAAACTCGAAAATAACAATTATTGACCAAGGGTTACCTCCTTTTAATGTTTCTAGAAATAAACCGTAATCCAATCTTACCGTCTGCTGTAAAGAGTTTTTCTCAGCATCCAGAGTGCGTACCCGAGTCCTCAATGCTCTGATCTCAAGGTCCAGACGATCATTCAGCTCTTTGGCCTTTCGCAGTTCCACCATTTCTTTAAATGAAGTCAGATAATGAATCAGAATCAGAATAAGAATACCTTTATTAGTCCCAGAGAGGGGATTTTACATTGTTACAGCAGAAAAGAGCCAAAGAAAATAAGATAAGATAAGATTCCTTGAAAAAAACCACAGTTGGATATTTTTCTCCAAGTCATTTAGCAGGCACTTAAACCTCATTAACGCTGGTTTTAACAGCACTGACAAACAACTTATTTGGCTTTAGCTATGGGAACTTGTTGAAAAGGATCATGAGATCACACTGTGGTAACACCGATGTTTGATGTTGGACGAGGTTCACTCTGCGTAATGAGAATAACAGAAAGTGTGAGCAGGTGCATGAGCACAAATGAAAGTGAGAGCTGTTGTCCTGTCAGCACATGCACGCTTGGGAAAGAGGACTGTCTTAGTTTGTGTGCATGTGTCACTGCTAATGTGTGGTATACAATTCTATTCTCTTCTTTTTTTTCTCTGTAAGTTTGCAGAATTGCTCGGCAGGAGTCTTTCTCTCTCTGCCAGATAAAGCTCTATCTCTCCATCTCTTCTTCCTCTCTGATGTTTGTTTTCTAAGTACAAGGCTACAGTAGAAACCTACATCATTTTACAGCTTAAAGGTGGGGTATGTAATTTATTTCAGAAACACTTTTTGTTATATTCCATGGAATGCTCTTAACATCCCGATAGCAATGAATATATTAAATGCTTTGACAATAAATACTTGGTCGGGCCGCTCAATGGTCAGCTTCACACATGTAATGGTCAGGAGCGACAACAGGACCACAGTAGCATATATCAACAGGCAGGGCGGAGTCCGCTCCGCCGCTTTGTTGACCACAGCGGAGAAATTGTGGTTATGGGCTGCAGAGGTGGTGTTATCTCTGAGAGCCCTCTACATTCCGGGTCTGGAAAACAGGGGGGCCGACCTCATGTCGAGGGGCGGACCCCTGCCAGGCGAGTGGGCGCTTCACCCGGATGTGGTAAAGCGGATCTGGGCCCGCTCCTGAGAGGGACAGGCTAAGGCAGGGTGGATTGTCTGATAGTGTTATTCAGTCTATCCAGGCAGCTAGAGCGGGATCCACCACAGCCTGTTACAGGCCGAAGTGGTTGGGATTCCTGCGATGGTGTGAGGAGCGGAAAATAGAGCCCCTATCTATTTTGTCGCACTTACAGTTATTGGTGGACAGAGGGCTTGCTCCGCAGTGGGACTTGCTGCTGGTGCTCGAGGCTCTGGTCACAGAACCATTTGAGCCTCTAGAGCTCTCCTCCCTGAAAGCACTGTCGTGGAAGACAGCATTGCTACTTGCCTTAACATCAGCCAAAAGAGTGTCTGAGTTAACCGCTTTATCGGTGCACCCGAGTTATTTAATGATCCAGGGTGACCAGAGCGGGGCAACACTCAGACCGAACCCCTCCTTTGTGCCCAAGAGCCTAAGGAGTGCGTTCAGGTCGAGGGCTATTCAGTTGGGGGGTTTCTTCCCCCCCATAGTGGGGCGAGGGAGGCTAAATTACACCTCCTCTGCCCGGTGCGTGCGCTGGCATATTATGTGGAGCGCACGTCTGCCCTTAGACGCACTGAACAGCTGTTTGTGTGCTTCGGGGGTGGGGTAACTGGAAAAGCTCTGCCCAATAAACGCCTGGCAGGCTGGCTCTGCGAGTGCATTGCACATGCCTACGGACAGGCGGGGAGAGCCTTCCCCACGGGGGTCCGTGCACACTCTACACGAGCTATGGCTGTGTCAACAGCCTTATTTAACGGCGTGAGTGTGGAGGACATATGCACGGCGGCATCTTGAGCCGCGTTCACACCGGAGTACTTTTCACCATACTTTTCGCATTTAGTTCCGTTAGTACCCCTTATATCGCGTTCACACCAAAAAGAGCACTTAATCTCGGGAACTTTTACCCCCATTTTTAGTGCCTGCTGAGAGATGGTACTTTCCTGGGGGAAAAAAGTGCCCCAGTTCTGATTGGCTGGGCGAATTGCAAACCACGCCCTGTACAACTCTGAAATGTTTTGTAGAGCCGCCATTTTATTATCCTGCCATTAGCATTATTAGCATTCGCCCAGTGCACAAATGCAGAGAGACTAACTTATGGCAACACAAAATAAAACATGGGAGCGGTGGAGATGAGGAGGTGTCGGCGTTCTGGCGATTTACTCAGTAGAAGCTGCTGGGAGTCCCAGCAGCTTCTACTGAAGCCAGTCCCCAACTCCGGGGACTTCCGGCCGGGGACTCCGGGTGGCAGTATACGCCGTGAAGTTGTTTGCGGCCTGCCAGTAAACCCAAAGCAAAAGAAGACGAAGTGACGTCAGCGGCTCATTTGCGTAATCTTCCCTCAGGGAAAAGTACTCCGGTGTGAACGCGATCTGTACTAAATGCCCTGGGGTAATAAGTGCCGGGGCACTGAGTCACACATTGCCAATGCACACATTGGATTGAAAAAAGAATACTTGTCTAATTTCCTCTGTTAAAGGCTGGGTGATTGTGAGTATTCTAACATGTTGCACACTTTATAAACTTTTATACATGTTTTTTTTTATTTTAGGCTCTTTTTTTAAAATGATTTAACAAAAACACTGTGTGGAGTGTGCACATTCCCCCCCTTGTTCACGTGGGTTTCCCCCACAACCTAAAGATCTTGGCCCAGATGCATAAAACTTTAGTTTAGTAAAATAGAAACTATAAATGGTGCTTTCCTCTTATTCAGTTCATGCTGGACTAATCTCCATCCTGTGTGAGCTTTATACAAAAAGAATAACTCTGAGCTGTGTGGGGACTGTAGAACAGGTCCAGTCTCCCTTTTACACCCAACATGAGCTTAATCACATATGTAAATGACCTGGAAACACATTCAAATATATGTATATATTACACATTATAATAAAATAAAAAATAACAATTCTCACCATATTTCTTCAGTTTCTGTACTTCCTGTCTGAGTTGCTCTTCCTCCTGCTGGGCTGCCTGCAGCTCAGGCTCTAAAAAGCACAGACGATAGGATAAACACAAATCTTAAGATATTGTATGATGGTAAGAAATGTTATATGCAATATTTAGAGGAGTAACATGAACAATTGGGATGATTGTTCTCTACTTGATTTGGTTTGATTCATTTAGAATGTGCAATAATACAAAGAAATAATAATAACAATGAAATGAAACATGATAATTATTATACTATACAAACTTAAGCAGTGTCAAATTGATAAACAAAAATATTACTGACTTACAAATTATATATAAACAAATGAACTACCTATTTACACATCCGAAAAGGGGTGAGAAGAAGTTTACAGCAAAAACATAAAAACAACAATCAAACAAACACATAAATAAACAAACAAGTTGATGAAAGAGGTAATTGGTAATCAAGAAAATATAAAATAACAAACCAAATAAATAAATAAATATTTCAGCTTTCAACCTTGTTTTAATGATAAATAAAGAAATGTAGGAACTGTTACTGTGTTACCATAAAAAAATATCTCTTTAAAAATCACATAGTCTGCTTGCAAGTGGCTGATTAATCTCAAGTCAAGTCAACTTTATTGTCAATCTTCCAGTTTGTGTGTACAGACGTCTATGGTACAGACAGAGAGATTGAAATACCGTTTCCCACAATCCCGAATATAAAAACAAATGTATATAAAATATTTAAATATAATGTGCAAATATGTATATATACACACAGTCTAAGACACATTTTTACATGTGCACACATTATGACCTACATAAAAACACAACAATCAATATATACAAAATAACAGTCACTTCAATATTTTGAGAATGTACATTAGTGCAAGATTGTCCATAGAATGTGCAAAAAAATATATGAGTCACTCACCATAAGCTCTTTGGGTCAAATGAGCAGACTCCAGCTCATCAGTCAAGCGTCGGATCTCATTGTGGGCCATGGCCAGACGGCGGGACCCTTCCTCCAGGTCCCGCTCCAGACGGGAACACTCCCTCTCCAAACTGCCTGCCAAATGTCTGGCCTCAGCCTAAAGAAAGAGTGAGGGATGGCAACTTATTTAAATGACCAAGAGTTAAGTGATTGCTGTACAATGACGAGAACCGACAAACTAAAACAAGAATGTTCATACAGGCATGCAAGAACAGAAACAAGACCTTAAGAAATGCACCGGATCAAGATGCATCAGTGGTGTGGAATCTTGCATTTCTTCTGCCATGCAAAGTGCCCTAGTTTGAGCTGGAAACAGAGCTTAACAACGCTGGAAGAAAAAAAAAGGTTGCAGATAAAGTTGATGCTGTTTAACAGAAAACATGCAAAATACTCATACGCTAGCATGCATCTTGGAAGAACAAAATTAAGTCAGTTTGGCTGATGTTCCCTGATTTTTCTACTGACCCGAGTACATTTTTAGTGTTGGTTAGTACTGTATGGAAAGCACAAACATTACTTTAGATAAAAGGACCTACAGGAATAAAAGTATGTTTGCTCTGAGCAGCTTTGTGGAGTCCAAATAGTCTCTTCCATGGGCTCTGGCTGTGACGAGTTGCCACCTTGTGGAAAGACCAGAGCAGAGAAACATAGACTAAGTCCTATCCCCACGTACACACATTTGTTGGACACTATTTTCTTCACTTAAGAAGTTTCACACTTTCACCAGACATAGATGTGTGGTTTGTAGAACGTTTCCCATCTGCTGGTTTGAGTAAACAGGAAAACCATGTGGTCAACCACAGTATTGGTCGACCTGTGTGTCTACATCATACACATCGAACACACTGTGCCGATCTAAAACTGAATCAATGCTCTGTAAACCTTATCTGTCCATTGCTTTGTTAAGAACTGTTAGTGTACAACTGAAAATATCATCTAACCTGGTGTGCACTGGTGTTCAGTGGCTGGGTTCCGGTCCCCAGTGGGCTGGGTATGTTTCCATTACCCATCAGATTGCTTGGACCCTGGCTCGTCTCCAGTAAGGAGGCTCTCTCCACCAGGAGGTAGGCCACCTGCTCACTGGGGCTGCTGTGAATCAGCTCTGTGAGACCCTGCTGGTACAGCATTTTAGCCACCTCGCTAATCTGGGAATCTATCACAACAGAGAATGGTGACAGTGTAACATTTCTAAGGTATTAAGTTATTTCATTGTCATTTTCACAAACTGCAGTTGTTGTCCCTTGTTGCTAAACATGATAAAATAAAATATGAGTTTGAGTTTATGAGTCTCACAGCCTGAGGAAAGAAGCTGCTCTGTAGTCTGCTCTCCAGTCCTTTGTTAATATACATGCTTTGTTAGTATGTAAGTGCTTAGTTAGTATATAAGTGCTTTTTATTTAGTTTTTTGCTTTCTGTTTTTCATTTTATTGCTCGAAGTGGAGTCGAAAGAGATGAGTTTTCAGTCTGCACCGGAAGATGTGTAAGCTTTCTGCTGTCCTGATGTCAATGGACTTGCTAGTTTGCAATGTTTCCAGTCAGAATGCTTTTTGATTGCTCCTCTGTACAAGTTAACAAGAATTAGGAGGGGACTTTTGCCTTAATAAAGTTTGCTTGACAAATACACACATCTCTTAAACTTTTTCCACCTCGTTGGGGATGTTTGATCACCATGTGAGGTTGTTTGTAATGTGGATTCCCAGGAATTAATAACTGTTCTGTGCCTCAGCACAGCTTAATTGATGTAAACAAGGGTGTGCACTCAGCTCCCTTGCCTAAAATAAAGGCTTTTCCTTGGTTTTGCTTTATAAATTTGAAAATCTGGGCTCTTATCTCAATCCTGTCTTACCCCTATGTTCCTCCCTTGTGCCACATGCTCACTTCCCTAGGCATTGCTATACCCAATCAGTCCACTAGATGACCTCAGAGTCTTTCACCTGTCCCAGTCACCTGACTCTCATTCACTCTTGCTCACCTGTTTCTACTTTGCCTCATCAGCCCTTTATATATCTGTCCGGTTTGCTCTCATTCCCCTGCAGATTGTTCATTTTGAGTCATTGTGTTGCCTTCCAGACCCTGAACCCTGCAAGAATTCTGTTACCTGGAAACTGACTCTGAATATGTACCTTTCTGCCTGCACTATTTATCCCCTGCACAATTTCTGTTACCTTTGGACTCTTTTTTTCTTTTGACTGGACATTATACTCATGTCAGTACGTAGGCCTACTTTCACTTTATCAAAAAATCCCAGATATCTTCCTCTCTTTTATCTGAATTTGGGTCCTTTTTCTTGTTGCCTCATCGTCTCCCACCATGTTAGCCTGTCACGACAAATATGTATTTTTAAGTATATATTTCCCCAGAAATATTAGCTTTTTTATGGGACCACCTTCGACTGTCTCCCAAACAGTCAAACGACAAAGACAACAAAGCTGATGACACAGTCCAGAACCTGAAGATTGACATCTCAACAATTGCCAAACAAGATAGGTAAGTTAACATGGCTTGTGTTACTGAAAAAACGTGCAAATTATATTGTAAAGACATAAGTAGAAAGCCTTCACATGTATTATACCTGCAGTATAATTTAAAGGGGACCTATCATGCAAAATTCACTTTTGTACGTCTTTTATACATGAATATGTGTGTCAGGGAACTCACCAAGTGTCAGAAAACACAACCCTCTCTCTTTTCCTCCATACCCAAATCTCTAAAAACGGGGCTGCAACGGAGCTGATTATTATTTGAATTTTTCAGAAAAGGGGTGCTCCGCCTATACTGTATGGGCAACTCTCCACCTATCAGGGGAATGAGAGACAGCTCGAAAGCGCTGGAGACGCTGTAGTACATATGCCAGGCCTGTAAGTGGCGCTGTAGTCTGCCACAAAAGCAGAATCAGCCCTTGCAAAAACAGGCTGGAAAAGAGCAAATGGAGCGAAATGAGGCATGGCTAAAATGCATGATCTGTTTGGTATTTTGAAAAAAAAACTTCACAGACATGTTTTATATAGGTATGGCCCTACAATATATGTTTCAAATATAGCATGATAGGTCCACTTTAAGAATTTGAACTATTAGCCTTTTGGAAAATACCATACAACAAATTAGAAATACTATGTCATAGTGCAGATTGAAGGTTTGGAAGTTTGAATGTGGTCACTTACACTTTTATAATTTGAATATGTTTATTTATAGGTAAAACTGTCAAACCTTGAAGGGATACTAGGCGTTGCATCTGGTCCTTGAGGAGATCGTTTTCATCTTGTATCTCATGCACCAAAACATCTTTGTGATCTGTAAAGAATCGGATCTGCTCCAAGGACTTGCGTACCTTACAAACGGACCGAAGCAGAAGCAGAAATTCACAAAATCTTGCTCTTATTGGCAGTTTTGGATGTCACTAGTAAAGCAGCAGTGATTACATACCTCTGCCATCTCTGCTAAGTGCTGTGAGTGCTGCGTGTCCAGGTCCCATGTCACACTGTTCAGATGGCTTCTGGTGCGCTGGAGGGCACTCCACAGCAAACACAGCTGAGCCTCCTTTGAGGAGTCAGGAGCGAGTCCCTCCTCCTGTAACCATGTGGCGATCTGCTCCATTTCCTCCTAGAGATGGTTGACAGACAAACCACCTTGTGTCACACTAAGAAAAAGGCTGACTACTTGTAATGAACATTATGTCATTTAACTGTGTGGATAGGATCCATAACAAAATATGTTGTTTTTATTTAATCTTACCCTGTCACTTTTATTCACACTTAATATATAGAGGGCAATAATATGTTGGTTATTTACAACCTTGTGTGTTATTTTTTTCTGGGATTATTTTAAGATAAAAGGCTTGTCAAATACATCTTTATCAATAAAGGGCTCCCAAACTCTGAACTAGACTGAGATAACTGACACTTCTCTTGGCTGTTTGCACATTTTGGGGGAACAGCTGTTTCTCTATTTCTCTATTCGCTGGCATATGTGTTACTGCTGGAGTTTCTTTCTGTGGTAGTCTGAAACTGGGAAAAACTAAATGTGTGTGTTAACGTGTAAAGCACAATCATTATTTTAGTGCAACGCTTTGCAGCCACACTTTGAACCTATGTTATACAGTCTATGGGACTCTGAACTGAGAACTCACAATATATATATTTTGTTTAGTTAACATCCTAACGTTTGCAACGATTCAAACTGTATCAGGATGAGGATAAACATGTATTGCATGACGCACGAGATCTACAACATTACAATTGATTTAAGGGTTCAGGCATTCAAAAACTAAATAAACAACGAACACGCAAATATTCCGTGTAAACATCCTAGCTTGTAGAGCTGGAACAAGCTGGAGATATGTTTATAATCAACTTTGAAGTTTAACTTGGATAAAGGAAGAAACTGTACGTGGGCTCACTTAATTTCATCACCAGCTTTGTAGCGAAAAATATAATCAAAAGTGTTAACGGTCTGACGTTTTAGATGAAGTGTAGCGGTTAGGTAAACTAAACGAAGCAAATGTCAAATGTATTCGGTACCTGTGGTTGATCCATTTGTCCTGCGATGAAAAACAACTATCGGTCGTAGTTTACAGTCACATTTCAGCCTTAAATGTTTTTCGTTTTCCGGAAAAATCCGACCTCGACTCCGAACACCGAAAATCAACGGTACGTAGCAAACAGGATCGCACCCATTAAACTGCCCACATACTTTGGGGTTTCATTAACAGATAATTCTACTCAAAACCAGCGACAAAGAGAGGATGGCTAATGTGGGCTGAGGGAATATAAACAGTACAAATGATCTTTGCCTGTGGTTGCAGTAAGTGGTGGTTTAGCGAGATTCTGTTACTACTTGTAAGAACTCCCGGCTGTGATTGTGGGCTGTCCGATGGTCCTGGAAGGAGTCTTGTAGGAACCAGTGTAAATAGTTTTAAATCACCAGTAGTCCCACATCTCAGTAAAAACTATGCTTTTTTTAAGCACCCATGTCCTATTTAATGCTCTCCTTTTTCCGTTTTCTAAACTTGAGGTTGCTTACTTACTTTGCTTCTGAGTATTTCAACATATAGCTCAAACGTAACACCACTGCATTTAGAGGATTTTTTTTTGTTTTCTAGTAGCAGATTAAAAAAAGGTCAAATGGGTTAGAATCTGCCTTAACAACGTCAAATCATGACGTGACAAGAAGGGACCTTTTTTTAAATTATTATTCTGCTTTAAGTATGATTTATAATTTGTTGTAGTAGTACGTGGGGTTGTGCTACATTTATTGCTAATTGTTCTTTTTATAGCCAGATCATATAATTGAGGACTGTTGCACTATAATATTATAAGCTATTTAAGCTAACATAAAGTCACATAAAGTTGTTGAACAAATTGTATAATGAATACTTAATTAATAATCAGTTGAATAATAGAAAAGAATATGCACTGTACTACAGAGAGCACCATATATTGTATTTCTACTTTTTGTCTATTTTTATGTTACTATATTTTACTTTATTGCATTTTTTTTAAATTCTAGGTTCATGTAAAAACTTTTGAAAAGCCTTTGTGTTAAAACAATATATATATATATATATATATATATATATATATATATATATATATATACATACATACATACATATACACGGATAAATTAAAAAAATTGTTATGTCAGATTCCTCCGCGTACCACTAGCGGGACGCGTACCACAGGTTGAGAACCACTGGTCTAGTGTGACAGTTAAAGTTACTTTTTAAAAAAAAGTAAGAAATGTGTAGTGTAGGCTATGCTAAATGTTTGAGTTATGCATTGTGTTGTTTTCAGAGGTGGGAGAAGTACTCAGATCTTGAGTGAAAGTAGAAGTACCAGAGTGTAGCAGTACGCTAAGTAAGTAAAAGTTCTGCATTCAAAATGTTACTAAAGTAACATTTCCAAAGTATTAAGATAAAAAATATACTTAAAGTACTCATTATGCAGATTGGTCCATTTTAGAATAATATGTATTTATATGTTTTCATTATATTTATTGATGAATTAAAGTGTTTATTAAAGCTGGTAAAAGTATATATACTGCAGGGTATATTGTGAATTTACTCCAGGTGTAACTAAAGCCTTATTTAAGTGTTTATATTTCACATCATTAATCCAAATCTGTAAAGTAACTAAAGATATTAAATAAATGTAGTGGAGTAAAAGTACACCATTTAGCTCTGAATTGTAGTGGAGTAGAAGTTCGGAGTAGAAGTTCAAAGTAACATAACATGGAAATACCTGGGACAGTACTTAAGTAAATGTACTTAGTTACTTCCCACCTCTAGTTGTTTTTAGATTGATTGGCTATAACAGTAAAGTGCTTATGAACATGTATGTGTAAGAACATTATCATAGTGACAATATTCCTGTATTGAGTACTTTTGTGCTTTAGGGGGGAGGAGGTCATGCAAAATTGTGGCATGTTAATTATTTGCAATTTATGTTGTGTATTACTTTGCTTTTTTATAGTCTTCTTAGTGACATTAGATGATAAAAAAATGTTGAGAACAGCTTTTGCACAGGTGAGGCTTTAATAATACAAAATGTAACCATTGCGAGCCCACACATCCAGCACAGTTGAAATTACGACAAATGTGTTTCAACTGTGTGAAGTCTGAAAAACGTAGGCACACATTACCTTATCTTATTTAGTTCTACACTAAATACAGATTGAATGTGTGCAAATATTCAGTTTTTATTCAGTTCTAGAGGAATGTTATTGTTGGTAATGAGTTGGTCCAGACCACACATTTGAGGGGGAGGGCAGAGTAACTCTAGAGGAAATGGGTGTTGAGGACTCCTCCTATATCTAACTCCACATTCCTTTTCTGTACCCTTTTCAAAGTTTTGGAGCTAAGACTGTGAGACCAGAAAAGGGCAGAGGGAGGATAACTGCAACTAGGAAGCAGTTATCAACAACCACTGAACATTACAGACTCAAAAGCTCTGTAGCTGAAGGGTAAGAACTTCATCTTTGTTATGTGAGCTTAAACAGACATTATTCCTGGACTTTCACGTACAGCTTAGTATGATGAAGCTATTGCCCAATAAAATGCAGGTCACACCCTAATGTGATCAAATGCTAAAATACGGTTTCATTATGATATCTAACCTTCATAAGGCTGCGTTTCTGTTGATCAACAGTGCATTTTCTGTAATCATCACCTTCCTTACTGCCTGTGCTAGTTACCTCAGCATTATGTAAACCAGATGTAGCATTATCTAATCAAACACAGGCCTCTCTGAATTGTCCACAATGGAACAGCAACAGTGGTTTCCCCCTCTGGACAGAGGTGGGTAGGAAAGACAAACATGAGCAAGGCGTAGGATACTCATTCCTTAAAGTAAGCTGTGTAGTTAAGAGAGGACCATTTACGAAAAGGAAAGGTCTACCCCACCATTTGTATTTCAAAAGGGATTTACTGTAATGATTTATGAAATTGGCTAGCAACAATTTACAAGACGCACAGTTAAGGTCCCATAACAGCATAGAAAAACAGCACATCACACTTGTTTCTGGATTATTCGTTTTTTAGTTATTACTGTATTTACGTTTGACATGATGTCCGTTATGTTTTTTTGTTTCTTTTGCCGTTAGTTATTTATACCTGTATCTATGGGAAATGAAACCAAAAAGTCTTGCTTAATGATGCTATTGCCTGTTTTTGCAAGTGTCCTAAAAAATGTTGGATAGAAAAAAGTGAATCATACCATGAGTCATTCATATCTCCTTTTTAGAGTTGTTCCTATTTAAATGACTTTTTGGCTAGGATAAGGGCTGTAAAGATTTCAGACTTTCACTAAACAATTATCATGGCAAAAGCAATGCACCAGTGATAATATTATCACAATATCTATAAAATATTTGAAAGAAAAATAGTGCTATTAGTTTGATTCATTATTATCCTCTTGCCAATTCAACCTTTCTCAATATACGGTGTAAGAAAAATGGAGTCTTTAACCATAATTGTACTAAAGCTTACAAAAACAAAGAAACTGAAGTTATTCAAGAGGCGCTATTGTTATCAATCTTAACACAATATGACATTGTATCATAAGAGAATTTAAATGTTTTTTTCTCAAATTGAACCCGATGTATTATGATGGATAATCATCCTTTATACTGCAAGGATCTTTGACTTTGGATATGTCAGACCCTTGTTAGGTAGGGTTTCAGGATAAAGCTTGTTTACAATTGTTCCAGGGAGTTGATGTTCTGATTCCTCAGAGACCAGAGCTGCTCTGGAGACGAAGAGAAACTCTCTGTCTGGCATGCTTGTGGCTAATAAATGGGCAGAGATTGTCAGTGCAGATGTTGAGATGCGTGATGAAAGTGCTCAGAGTTTCCCCAAGAGGCAGACACAGGGTCCACTGTTTCAGGCCACTTCCTTTAGAAATCTGATGAGCACTTTGGAAATGGACCATAAAGCTGTTGATTCACAAATATCAAAGTTCCTATATCATAAAAACTGAGAATTCAATTTTTTCAAAACGTGCCTTTTAACAAGCCAACTTCACTTTCATTCAGTTGTGATGTCACACTGATACTTTACATATATAATAATAATAATAATACAGGTATAGTCAGATGGACACTATTAGAAAAAATGCTATTTTGAACAATTACAATACAAGAGGAAACCTGCTGATGATTACATCACTCCTGTAGCCCAAACAGATTTTACAGATGCAATTCTATAATTATAATTACATTACAGGTTTGTTTGTTTGTTTGTACACAGGATACCACACTCTTCCCTCATCTCCAAGCAGCCATGGTTTTCCTGCTCATATTCATGACCGTGCTGCATTTGGTGACCTTGGCCATGCTCCTCATCGCCACCCTGGAGAAGGTGAGACGCATGTTTTCTCTCTTCCTACAGTAGATGTCACTGTTGATCCCTGTATGATGTGAATAAAGGCTCACACAAATGCTGCACATCAACTACTGCCAGCTGTGGTTTTGTGCTATTCTGAGAACCTGTCTTTGAAATGAACCAATCTTTCTTTTTGCTTTCTTTTATTCTTTCTGCAGTCCTGGTGGATATGGGATGATTTAGAAATCACAGACCTCTGGTATAACTGCTTCCATGATAATGCCACGAAGACCTGGATGTGTGCTGCTACAAATGAGAGCGGTACATTTTAAATTATTTGTTTGCGTGCTAGCCTGCATTATTTACTGGTCACGTTTTGCATTGTGTTTTGCTTGTGAGTGAGTGTCTTACACTCATTCTCTGACCCACTCTCCCAGACTGGCTGCAGTCGGTCCAGGCCCTCATGGTCCTCTCTGTGGTCTTCTCCTCCATCTCCTTCCTAGTTTTTCTCGGTCAGCTGGTCACCATGTCCAGAGGAGGACTCTTCTACTTCACAGGCCTCTGTCAGGCATTTGCAGGTGAAGTCTTAAGTTATTACATAAGCCATATCAAATGTTGTCAATGAAAAAAAAACAGACAGCTTTTTTTTTTTTCACTTTTAAGGCTTTGAATCCTTTGTGAAAACTTGACTGCACTTATATTTTCTTTGCAAATGTAGCTTTTGTTTCTACAGTTGTTACGAGAGTAGACCTCTGTCAAAGTATAACTTGATGAGTGAAATCAGCTTGGTTTTTCTCTCTTGAATTATTTTGTGTTTTTTTGGAATCGTGCCTTTAGATGAATATATAGTTGTATCAATTTGAATATCAGTCTATCCCACATTCACAGTCTTGCTGCTATTAATAATAAACAAGACTTTAATAATCCACAACGGAAAATATAGTCCCCTATAAAGGCACTAGTTAATCCTGTAAAAACATACATGCCCATCTGTTCTATTTAATATAAATTCTATTTATATTTACAAAGGGATCCTAATTAATCCCTATCAGGTAGTCACACATGCATACCATGAAATGAACAGCTGTGGTGAGACATTTTGAACTAAAACCTTTAATGTCTTGCTCCTGCAGGCTTCACAGTCTTTGCTGCTTGCCTCATCTTCACCTTCCACAGAAAGGAGATCTTAAGTGAATCCAGAGATCTTAGCAAAGGACGCTTTGGCTACTGCTTCATCCTGGCCTGGCTGTGTGTCCCTCTCCTCCTGGTCAGTGGAGTGCTATACGCCCACCTGCGCAAGAAGCAGTGAGCCACAAACAGAAAATATGCAAAATTAAAAAAAAGAGCTCTTCACTCACATTCCAGAGTAAAGATAGTGCACATGAGGAGATAAGAGACTAAGAAGAAAATACTTCTTTAAATTATTTAATACTTTCGGACCCAAAATCCACCCTACATGGTATGCGGGACGTTATGTCATAATGGTGACTCTCTAGGAGACACATTGTTGTTACTCAAGACCAAATCAAGAAAACTCGGTCATGCTGACTTAAGCTTAAAGATCCCATGTCATGGCCATTTCTACTGATCATAATTCTTCCATTGTTGAGGTATACTAAAATACATTTATATTGTGCAATTTTCCAAACTCACATTGGTTTCTCATACAGCATCTCTGTATAGTATGTGTATTCACTCTCTGTCATAAACGGCTTGTTGGAGCTCCTGCCCCCCCCTCCCTGTGAGCCCAGTGGCCGTCTGCGAGACAGAGAGACACAGCGAAACCCAGCCCGGAACACACGCACACCCGCAGCCTGGCTGGGAGTTTGTGTGTGTGCCAGGCTGAGTTCCGCGGTGTCTCACTGTCTCGCCGACCCCACACCAGTGAGCCAGCTCAGTGTCCCGCTCCTTGCAGCAGCGAGCCTCGCAACGTCCCGCCGAGTGTGTGTGTGTGTGAGGAAGTCCGCAGATTGGTCAAAACGTAACGGCTCCGTGGACGTAACGGCTCCGCGGATTGGTCAATTTGGACCAATCTGCGGAGCCGTTACGTTACGTCACTATACCCGAAATACGTCACTATACCCAAGAAGTAAACAATGGAAAAAGAGAAATCTCCAACAAGGCGTTCTGGGGCAGCACAGACAGGTCTTTTCTGTGTTAGAGTTTTACTCGCTACAGGGTGTACTTTGAGGGTTTGTGACTCTGCAGACCGTTTACATGCAGAAAAAGCTTCATAACACACAAGGGGACGGGTAATAACCGGAAAAGCATGACATGGGACCTTTAACATATTAATCATGAAGAATTCTGTAATGGAAGTATTTGCTAATCAATCTATACCTTGTACTTAATGATTGTGATTATGTTTGATATATTTTGTATATATCTGTTTACTTATTAAAGAGAGCAATGCACTGATTGTTGACACCTTTTCTAAAGAGCATTCCTGTATTAAGAAGGCTTACTCTGTGCTAGGCCTGTTTTGTTTTGAGCTTTCTGTGTCACTCAGTGCTTTCTGTGTCACTCAGTGCCGGTGCAATCCTCTGACATTATGCTGTGGTTGCTAAAGGGTGTGCCAATCATTGTTAAAGCATCAGTCAACATTTTGTGGCATTCAATGTTTACTTTGCTGAGGTATGCTTGCATTTTCCACATCATTTCAGAGGAAGTTGATAATGAACTAATAAGAAATTGGCCAGTTACACTTCAGCAGTATCACATTCACCAACACATTTTCCCCAGAGGTAATAAAAAGCAAACTACTGTAATTACACCTTTTTAGATGGAAAGTTAGGTGCAGTGTGAAACTGTTGCCTCCAAACCTACCAGTCAGGCTGGACCAGTCCAAAAAGGAAGCTGTGAGGTAAGAAGCAGTCTCTAAGACAAAGTTGACATTGCACTATTTGTTGCCACACACGTCGAACGTGTTTAGTGTATGACCTAGAGCCAGAATACCAAAGACTCTGATTTAAGTAAAATATTGAGACTGTGCAGCGAACGGATCTGTCAGCTTTGTAGAATGTCTGGAATCTGAGAACAACGTCGGTTGGAAGGAGTGGAAGTGTTTGGAGAGGTGAGACGATCGGCATTGGGAGGGAACACATGAAGAGGTATAGCTCTTAAGAGCTTTTTAGTGATACTCAAGCCTGAGAGATGAGACATGCTTTCCAGGAGGTGAGTTTCACATTGTGTTTTGTGTGTTCAAAATGATTTTTTTCAGACAAGTCTACTCATAGATTTATTTAAAATGTGTCCAGGAGTTTTTCTCACAGAGCATTGCCTGCACCTTCAAGATATCATATGTTTTCGGGGCTGGTCTTGCCAACATGGAGATATTGTGACTTTTTGCCAGAAGAATGAATGGAATTACTTCAACTAGATCCAAGGGTGACATGAGCTGGTCTGGGTTGGATTTGATATCACACTACAGAAGTCAGTAGTGGAAACTTTGTTAGCAGTTTTACACAGAGACATATCAGGCTGCCGTCATGTCCAACTCACACGAGCAGAGCCTTGATGAGAATGTAGTTTTTCTACCGGTGAATGAGTCCTCCCCAGAGTTCCTCCATTGTGAGAAGGAGCGTCAGGCAGTGGAGAGACTCCTCAATGCAGGACCAGAGGCCTTCTACAGCTCCATCGGCACAGAGCGCTCCGGCTGCTTCCTGTCTTCTGAAGAGGTCAGCCAGATAAGCAGCTGGGCTCAGGACTATCGCCTTCACCCGCTACAGGTGCAAAGACAGGAGAATGGAGAGGACTGCAGCTCAGAGATGGAGGACTTCTGTTCCACATACTTCCCCTCCTTCACAGACACACCACCCCCGAGCCTGGAGCTGGGCTGGCCTGAGAAGAGCCCCTGGGGAGCCAAAGACAGCGTTAGAGTCCACACCAGCCCTCCTGCAGAGGGGGACCCTTCTGTCAGGCAGATCATCAGATGGCACTTGCAAAATGCTGGCGAAGTATGCAAATATATCATGTTATGGATAAACACGTTTATTTTCATATGGTAGAGCTGGAACACTCTGATTTAAGAACTGTTTTTATGATAATGTAATTTATTCAGAGTTAATACTTTAACACCACTATATTTCAGAGATACATTTTCTTTTTTGCTATGTTAATCTGGAGACTTAAGTTAAAGATTGTACTAAAAGAATAGAATCAAATATAAAGAACTCCTTCAATTTAAACCTTTCAACAATAAATTAAATATAGAAACATGAAGCAACCTTTGCAGCTCCACTACACGAATGCTGCTTAATGCATCAACCCAAACAACTTTTACTGCTTTTGTGGTTAATATTAGTTCAGTTTTACTTCTGTGAAGTAGCATCACATCTTCCATCATCTGCATCAATATGATATCTTTAATCTTTTAGAAAAATAAAGAAGAAATAAAGGGTTACATTTTGTGTATGCCACTTTCTGGACAATCCGATCAAGTACAGACTAAGGGACATATTTCTATAATACACAGGTAATTGCCATTGTGACGGACAGATTGACAGATGGTGCAATTATTGGAGATTTACACAAAGCTGCTTCCCGGGGTGTCCCTGTGTACATCATCCTGAACCAAAGGTCCATTCAAGAGAACTTCACGCTCAACAGGCTCAGGCATCCGGTGAGTCACCTCCTGCAAATTAGCACACACCTAGCAGCCATTTGATTGGGTATGTTTGACATGACAATAAATTAACCCAAGCACCGCCAGTCAACAGGGCCACTGGGTTACATCTTAAGGTTACATCTTAAAGCGTTGTTATAAACTTGATAGACTGCATTTTGTGTAGTGGTGTCCTTTTACTCTTACATTCCTGTTTAATAATCTTAGGAATGTGAAATGTACTCTTAGCCATGCATAGTTAAACTGGTTGCACATCATTCACAGTTGACTGTTTCTCTTGAGGTGGTGAAATGCTGTGCCTGATGTTGAATACCCTACAAGATATAAATCCATTTCATGATAGCAGTTTATGAAATTGATGAATGAACCGAATTTAAGTTCTCCATCCCTAAAATGACTCTTGCTCACCATGAGGTTGACATTTGTGGTTTTTAGAGAAATGAATTGACTATTGTATTGGTTGCCATTACATTTGGTGAAGAAATGTCCACCCCTCAGAATGAATTTTTGTCAGGTTGGTGATCCCTTAACTTTCATCTGATGCCCTCAGGCCAAATACTTTGGTTAATGACGCAAAAAAAGTGCAAAACTAATGAATCACATCTCCTCATCTTTACTTTGTTTCTGTTGCTAACTTGCACATTTGTGCATGCTAACATGGTAAACTAAGATGGTGAACATGGTTAACCTGTTTCTGCTAATCATCAGCCATGTGATTGTAAGCATGTTTACACCCTGACGTTAGCTTTTGGCTCAAAGCACTGCTATGTCTATAGTACAGCCTCACAGGGCCCCTTGCATGGATGTATACTCTTGTTTACTATAAACCCTGTGTAAGATATTATGCCGCTTCATCTCATTGTATCAAAGATAAACAACACCTTTTCATTTCCCTCTATCTCAAGTTTCAACTCTGGTTTGTGGTTTGGCAGAACATGCAGGTACGTGTTCTTGGTGGGAAAACCTTTTGTTCGAGGACAGGAAGAATGGTGGTCGGAGAAATGAAAGACAATTTCCTTCTATTCGATTTACAGACAGTGATTCATGGCAGCTACAGGTGAGCAGTTTCATTTACCTCATTTCCCATTTTTTTCCTTATTGTAGAAATCATCATTGACATGTGGATAATAACTTCAAGCCATTTTTGTATTGTTTATAATTTCAATAGACCCATTACTTTCTATATTCAATACAGAAAGGTTATAATGATGGCTACTTTATTCCCATCATCTTTTATGGTTGTATTTTCCTAAAAAAATTAATAAACTGACAGTTCAATTAACTTTTTCTTTACATGTTCATACTATATTGTTACATCCTTGGCTTACAGCTTGATTGAATGTATGGTTTTGATCCTAATGTTTACTGTCATCCTTAATTTCCCTTTAAATGTATCAGAAACACTTTGATATAACAAGCTATCTTTGCACTCTGCAGCCTCACATGGACCGACGCCCACCTGCACCGGCAGCTGATCACCGTTCTGAACGGCCCAGTTGTAGAATCATTCGACAGGGAGTTCAGGACCCTTTTTGCGGCTTCACTCCCTGTCCCTGACACATGGAGGGAGGCAGAGACTCATGTAGATGTGACTCATCATCTGAAAGACCGCTCAGATCTCGGGTTTCAAAGACATCACCTTTATGAGCCTGAGATTGCCAATCCTCCATCCCCACCTGCTGATTCCCTCCTTGACTGGGTAGCCATGGGGGTTATACACACTACAAAGTGCAGTCCTCTTGATCAACACGATGAAATCATGGCCAAGGAAATGCAGGTGCAGAGCAAATTCCTGTTTGATCAGCAGGAGGAAATCATGGCCAAGGAGATGCAGATGCAGAGCCAAATGCTGTTTGATAAAAACACACTCTTTATGGACAGTTTTAGGCCTACTTACAATGGAAACCAATTTGTGGATAACAAAAGGTACATGGATCATCTTGACTTCAATCTAAGTTGTATTTGGACCAATCATACAGAATGCTTTTAAAATGGTCATTTACACAAATACAATGTTGGTATTTTTAATTAAAATGTAACTTAATACTGGAAACTGACACCCAAATGAAAAATTGAAACATGTTTTCTGTTTCTTTTCATTCTCTAATTAATTTCCCCTAGCACAGCATTTTTGTGTAATATTTTGTGTTACAGGTTGTTTGCATGACTTATATATTGCTTTCTTTCTGTATGTGACAGGGTGTATCGAAACACTTCTCCAGTGACAAACAATGTGCCACATAAATTACCAACTTTCAAGTATGTCTTCTTACAGTTCTTTTTTAAAATAATACTAGTATTTGTTCTTGTCTTCTTCTAATAACGTTTTATGCTAATCTGTTTCCTGGAATCTTGATTATTTCCATAGAAAATTATTAATTTATTGTGTTGTTTTTTTTTCCAGCAGGGTGGATCACATAATAAATAAGGCTATTGCCCGACAACTCTCCGCAGAGAAGAGCACCAATTTAGATGACAGAACACGAACAAGACTTGATGATGAAGGAACAGAACCAACACACAATATAAACATCCTTCCATTTTCGGAGAGAAGAGAGACCTTAAAGAGGGAAGCCATATTGGGAGAAGTGGGAAGCATAAATAAAACTAGCTCACCCGTGGAGAACAAACCATCTTCTAGAGTAAGTAACGGGCCTTTTCTACCGAAGCACTTGAGTTAAAATTGTGGAAAACTGAGATGCATTTCTCTCCTCACAGAAACCTCTGATCCTAATGGTGCCGCAGTCTGAGAGCTACAAATCCCTGAGTGACATCATGAAGAGGACTCATCCCCAGCAGAGCCCTTCAGGACAGATCGGGAAAGGATCGAAGGCCGCCGCGTCAGAACTGACCCAGACTATGATGGAGCTGAGTGTAAACAAAACACAAAACAGAGGAGTCCCGGTGCCAAGGTTTATGGCCAGTGTAAGTGTGTGGATTCTTTATATCTCTTTCTGTATGTGCTTGTGAAGAAGTAGTGATGGAGGAGGAGATACTTCTTACGAAAATAAATTAACAGCCCCCTGTAAAGCTTACAGAGATGTTGCTCTTTTTAAGCTAAGACAATACAGGAAAAAACTTATTTTTTTAATGCAATGGACAATTTTAAGAGTTTGGGCTATTTTGGTAAAATGTCAAATGGACTCTACTTGTATAGTGCTTTATCCAGTCTTTAAGACCACTCAAAGCATTTTACATACTACAAGTCATCATTCACTCCATTCATACAGAGCAGTGCCATTTGCTCAAGTAAGCTAACATTCACACAACACATTCACACATGCCATCGAGAGCAACTCGGGGTTAAGTATCTTGCCCAAGGATATATCAACATGATGACTGCAAGGGCTGTGATCGAACCCACAACCTCCTGATTGAAAGACGACTGCACTTCCTTGCAGCCACAGTCGCCCATTGTATAGCGAAAAGTAAACATCCAAAATAGACATTGAGTTGTAAGTATAACTCAACTTTTTGCGCAAATAGACTGTCCCCATTTTCACAAAGTCAGCATTAGATAATGTCTAATTTCCATTTTTTTTACATAATATCTCTTCAGAAAAACATTTAAAACAAAAAACAAATGTGTAACTTTAGGTGATAAATATGAATATTGAGCCTTTATCCAATAATCAGATTTGTGTTTCATGTATATTTAAATCAAACATATTTAATAAGGTAATGGCTACTTTGCATATTAAACTAAACATAACTTGTAATGATATGATTTTAATGTGTTTTTGGTGCCTTAAATCTCCTTTTTCTTTGACAGTGCTTTGACCCAGATCAAATGACACCTGCTCTTAACCTGATGAGGAAGAGGAACGATGAGTTGAAACCGTTATTGTACAGAAGTCAACAAAACCTTTTGCCCAGAGAGAGGCCCCGCAGCTCCTCTTATGCGTCCTGGAGGTGGCCACTCGCAGAGGCGGAGGGTAAACAGGAATGAGAAGCAAGGAAGAACATACATGATCAATAACTTCTGTAAAAACATTTTTTTTCACTGACCAAGGACAGCCGTCAACAGTGGATAGTTACAACCTCTGCAGTGTTAACCCAAATCAGGCCAAAAACAGGCTATGACTGAGAATAAAGCCATTGTTATATGCATGTCTGTAAATTCTACCTGTTAATTTGATGTTTTTTGTTATGTTAATGTTGCTCCTCTTGAATAGTATTAACCTTTTTCACCACTACAAGGCTGTACAAATTACAATAGGACCTTTTGATTAAAATATAGAATAACAAATATGTGTAGACCTTTATTGAATGGATATAAATGTACATTTGTGTTGATACAGTATGAAGGTCAGGATTTGTATATTATATTAATTGGAATTAATATAGTATATCATGAAATAGATGGTATGAAATGAATGCAATAATTGTTTCAAAGGTGACGATGTTAAAGGTTTAAAGAAGAAAGAGACACAAATCCTTTTGCTAACAGTTAACACACATGAGGTTATGTGCTTGATGTACAGTTTACACTTTTTTATGTAAATTGAGTTATTTTAAAAGCTGATACCAAACGTTTAATACTCACAGCACATGAACCATGACATAGACCATTGATGTGTACAACAAGGAAGAAATAAAAGAATACACCAATAGTACAGCGGATAAGCTCTCATATTATAACAATTGTGCATTTTATGAGAAAAGCATGACATTTCTAACATAGTTAGAGCATACCATAAGGTTTATTTTCAGATGTGGAGGGAAGTCAGATTTGACCCGTGAGGACCGTGAGAGGTCAAATCCAAGATGGCCACCAGTCTCTCGGGTCAAATGTTCAAACACGCTTAATTTTGGAACCAAACATTGTAGAAAAACATTTAAGGTGTCATATCCAACTAAATTAGGGATGCCCAATCATTTGGTGATACTTTTGAGATCGCCAGAATTCAAGAAAATGAATTTAGTTGAAGATAAAGGTAGAAATTGACCAAAAATAAGGTGTGTGTGTGTGTGTGTGTGTGTGTGTGTGTGTGTGTGTGTGTAAATTAGGGATGCCCAATCATTTGATGATACTTTTGAGATCGCCAGACTTCAAGAAAATGCATTTAGGTGAAGATAAAGGTAGAAATTGACCAAAAATAAGCTGTCAATCAGTTGAAATTTGCAAAATGTGTGTGTGTGGTATATTCCAGTGGATTTATGGTCACCCAGCGCTAGCATTACTACAGAGACTGGAGGAATATGGCTTTACTTGGCACAGTCTGCATGCTGATGAAAACATTTGTTTTTGTCTTCAAATACATACTAACATGATTGTGACGAGCATCATATTTGTTCCCCGCCCAACTCTCTAAGTCTAAGTGCTTGAACTCCGTGACAGGAGGATGAAGTATGTATAAATGGATGGAACTATCAACAAAACAGCGTTTTATTCCCCAATGTCATATTTAATAGAAAAATAATAATAATGTAAACCAAAGAGGGAGATGGAAAACAGTTCCATGTAGAGCACAAACAGCTCTCTTAACCCTCGCTGTTAACAAAGGGCTGCACTCAACTATAAGGTTCACCGCTGTCCCTTTCCACTTATAGAGGGTTGGGGTTCAATTCCCTGCCTGTCCACCTATAAAGCCAAGGTAGCGCAGCTTTTTTTCTGTTCTTTAGTGGCTCACATGGACATTTAGAGGTCATGCAAAGAAAGGGTTATGTATGTTGTGTGTGTGACAGAGAGTGCAGAGAGAACATTGGCAAAGGGGATTTGTTTGTCCTAGCATGGCTGTACAATTACAAATACAAAGGTTTACCCATTTAGACTCCATGGCATGGAGAAAAAAACTCATTTTAAATGACTCTAAGGATATAACAAGTTTTAGAAAATTGAAAGATTGATGGATTTTTGCCCACATGCGGTAAACATCTTAATTGAATTTTCTATGTGCAACATGAGGACAATAACCACAAGTGTACTCGCAGTACCTTTTTTCTCTGGCACTGAAGTTGCAAGGTTTCAGCATGTTGTCCCTCTCTAAACCTTTCTGTTCCCCATTCTTCTTTCTCCAATAAGTGGTGCATCATTATTTTTCTATTAAATATGACATTGGGGAATAAAACGCTGTTGTTTTGTTGATAGTTCCATCCATTTATACATACTTCATCCTCCTGTCACGGAGTTCAAGCACTTAGAGAGTTGGGCGGGGAGCAAATATTATGCTCGTCACAATCATGTAAGTATGTATTTGAAGACAAAAACAAATGTTTGCTTCAGCATGCAGACTGTGCCAAGTAAATCCATATTCCTCCAGTCTCTGTATTAATGCTAGCGCTGGGTGACCACACACACACACACACACACACACACACACACACACACACACACACACACACACCAAATTTCAACTGATTGACAGCTTATTTTTGGTCAATTTCTACCTTTATCTTCACCTAAATGCATTTTCTTGAATTCTGGCGATCTCAAGTATCACCAAATGATTGGGCATCCCTAATTTAGTTGGATATGACACCTTAAATGTTTTTCTACAATGTTTGGTTCCAAAATTAAGCGTGTTTGAACATTTGACCCGAGAGACTGGCGGCCATCTTGGATTTGACCTCTCACGGTCCTCACAGGTCAAATCTGACTTCCCTCCACATCTGAAAATAAACCTTATGGTATGCACTAACTATGTTAGAAATGTCATGCTTTTCTCATAAAATGCACAATTGTTGTGCTTATCCGCTGTACTACAACTGTCTCTAATGTCTGTTTGAACCGGTTTAAACATGTTTGCTGGGTTTGAATGGCTGCCTGGACACATGACCACATTTGAAGAAATGTGAGAGATCGACTAAATGCTGGGTTGCAAGCAATCATTGGGAGTGAAGTATTATATTATAATATCCAGAACAATTTTCATATTACCAAATATCGTACAAGCGGAGTTACATTTTCAGTCAGATACAGTGCTCCATTGGTTTTATATTATTCACTCATATTTGTTGTTCTCTCCCTGCACATTAATTGATAAGATATACTTTATCGATCCCAAATTGGGAAATGTTTTCATTGCACAAGTATTGCACATAATTAGAAATACAAAAAGAGTAGAAAATAAACAATTGTACAATAAAAACATCTCAAAATAGAACAAAACATAACTAAAAGAGTGAAAATAAAAAAGTTCACCATGAGAAAAAATAGGTAAACTATCTGACAAATAAAACGCTATTGGCGGGCTAAATTACAGCTAACACAATATTAAAGTGGGATTTTATTTACTGGTGGCGAGGGTGGCTGGGGTTACAATTGGTGTAGACTCAATGTATTTGATTCAAACCCGTAAACAAGTCATTCAAAACTCAAACACTAAATCAAATAGATGGATGTAGCCCTCCCTCACAGTAGAGGGCGGTCTGCAGCCTTCACGTCGCTGTGGAGACCGTCATCTAAAGTAAAGTAGAATAACGGAAGCACATGGCAACGAGAGTGGAAGTGTGTCGATTCAACGCTATACAACTGGATATTTAATACAGTTCTCCTTTGTTTTATCTCCAGTTGTCAGCACTGGTGTTTAAAAGCATTGCTTCTTTTCCACTGTAACGTCCTGTTTGTCTGCTAACGTGCAGCTAACAGTTTATCGTTTCCATCATGGTTCGAGAAAAAAGGTGAGTTCGGCCAAAGTTAGCTAAACCAGAGTCTGCATGTTTTTATGTTGCTATGTGATTGTTATGCTGCTAAAGCTGCATTTTGCCTCATAGTTAGGCAGAGGTGTTCTGATACAGTCTATGTTTATGATATGTTTTGACACCTTGTAATCGATTTTTGTCTAAAAAGTTAACGTTTTTTCCTTTTCCAACCGGACCTACAGTAAACACTAAGTTATTCCATTATTATAACGCTAAACATTTTCCAAATTCCTTGAAAACGTATCCCAATTTTCTACAGTTTTGCCCTTTTTATTAACCATGTATGTTTGCTTTTAGTTCAGTTTATTTAGGTATTGTGCTTTCATTCTTGTCTTAAGTGTGAATGTATTTAGGTATCTGTAAACTTGAATGTTGTATGCATGTATTTGAATTAGTTATGTTATTATATGAGAGGGAAATCCTTTGATACTGTGTGTTGTATTGTCATATAAGTGTAATTATTATATTATTTAATGTCGGTCTCCTTTCTTTTACCATTCAGAACTATAAAGGCCCCAAGGCAAAAGAAGCCAGTGCAATATGATGAAGATGACCCTGAGGGATACAAGAAGATGCCTGTCCCTGACAAGGTAGAGCAGCAGATCTGTCCCTGCTGTTGTTGTTGTTGTTGTCATCACAGTAGGGTCACAATAAGACAGAGATGCCTGACATACAAAATGTAGGGTTTGACATACTGAGAGAAATCTACCTAAGTATTATATGTAACCTACATCTGTTGGTTAATGATTAATAATGATAGGTGATATTTTGTTATCGTCACAAGAGTTTCAGAAAAGTTTTTGACTGTTGGTATTGATCTACAGTATTAAAGGAGAGGTGTCATGCTTTTCCGGTTATTACCCGTCCCCTTGTGTGTTATGAAGGTTTTTATGCATGTAAACGGTTTGCAGAGTCAAAACCCTCAAAGTACACCCTATAGCGAGTAAAACTAACACAGAAAATACCTCCCCAAAACGCCTCGTTGGAGATACGTCATTGTCCATTTGATTCTTCCGGGTACGGCATGACCCGGAACGAAATGGACCAATCCGTGGAGCCGTTACGTTACGTCCGCGGAGCCGTTACGTTAACCTGTTACGCACCGCCCCCCCCGGTACCGGGCGGATAAACGCGTCATTTGCAGGAAACAACGTCTAAGGAATCTTAATATTTAATAAACTATGAATGTTTAATAAACTATGAATGTTTTATATCCATGTAACGGGAAGAAACTCAGCTAACTGATCTTTTAAAAAAAAAAACCCACAATGCTAACACTCAGCCTCTGAATTACCCATGAGCGAAAAAATGTAACCTAAAACTGCACCTAAACTCACTCATAACTCCCTTATTACTTATCCTAGATGCACAGCCAACCCCTCGATTAGCATCTCCTGGAGACACAGAATCTGTGTAAAAAACCTCAACACTCAGTGATAAACATTTGCGACGCTATAAACGAAAGCGTACATCAGAACATGTGGAGCTAGGTAGCTAGAAACGCTAACATGGCTTACCTTGGTCAAAACTGGTCTTCAATGGCATTCAAACGATAAAAAAACGATGCTGCAGTTAATCCATAGGTTAATCCAATGTGTCTGTGTC